GGCGGCGCGCGCAGTTCCAGGAGTCGCCACCAGGTGGCGACACCGCCATCGAGAACGGAGCGGGGGGGGCAGCGCGCGAATCCCCGTGGCCCCTCTGTGTGACCCCCTGACCCCACCCGTGTCCCCCCATATCCCCTCCGTGACCCTCCCCCGTGTCCTCCCATACCCCCCGTGTAACCCCCCCCGTATCCCCCTCCAATCCTCCCGTGTATCCCCCCGAGCCCCCACGTGTATCTCCCCCCGTGAGCCTCCTGTGTATCCCCTCTTGTATCCCTTCTGTGCCTCCCTAATTGTCCCCCCTGTGCGTGTCCCACCTGTTCGCCCCCATGGATTCCACCCTTAAGCTCACCCTGAGTATCCCCCATGTCTCCCTCATTGTGTCCCGCACGTCCCCTGAGTATTCCCCGTGTCCCCCATTTTCCCTTTTCCCCCTCCCGTGTGTCCCTCTCATGTACCCCCCGTGTCCCTCCCTTGTGCCCCCCGTGTGCCCCCCACTCCGTGTCCCCCCGTGTCTGGCACGACCGTGGATCGCTCTCATCCTCCTGCCCTGACACAGCCACAGGCGTGACCAGGACAGCACCGGGTGCTGCGGGTGGGGGGCTCATTGGGACCCCTCTTACACCCAGGGCAGGGACCAGGGGCAGGACCGGTGGGCAGGACCCCGACAGGGGCTCGTGGCCACCCCGGGGGGCTCGTGCTGCGGAGGTGGGGGGGCTCAGTCCCACTCGTGGCATGGAGCCCTCAGGGCGTCGAGCCCTCGTGGCATCAGCCGCAGCCTCGCCACGTGCCAGCTTGGCTGTGAGGGACCCCCAAGGCCATGGCAGGTCCTGGTGCCCCCTGGCCTGTGGCTCAGCAGAGCGGGTCGCCCCTCGCCCCCCACCCCCATCATCACCGGCCCCCCCGCTGCCTCTGCCTTTGAGCCCCCCCAGCCCCGCGCCGGGTGCCGGCGGCCTCAGATCTATTTCAATACCGGCTCTTTGTTCACTTATCGGTCCTTAAATCTCTTCACGAGGTTTCTCCTCCCTTTCCCCTCTCCCCCCCCCACCAAACCCTTTTTATCTTTTTCCTTCAATATTTTCTATTTTTCACCCTCTTCCCCATTCATCCCCACCCTCCCCCCGCCTGCTTCTGTCCCTCCCATCTCAGCCCCGTGGGCTGTTAGGGAGGATGGGGGGGTCTTCCAGAGCCCCCCAACCCCTCGCAGTCCCCGGTGTGAGACCATCAGGGACACCGGGACCCACTGGGGGAGATTTCTTGGCGCTGGTGGGGGGGGAGGTCCCGAGGGGTCTGGACGCTCCCGCAGCCCCTCCAGGCTTCAGCCACTCTGCAGGGTGAATGTGGCACTGGGGGGAGCAGCGCTGGGGGACCCCGGTGGGAGGGGAGGGGGGTTCAGAGGCTCCTGCAGTGCGGGAATTGGGGGGCCAGGGAGGAGCGGGGGTCTCTGGGGTTGGCGGTGGGTCTCACACACACCGGCAGTGCTGGGAGAGGGGCTGGAGGGATTCTCCCTGAAGTGGGGGAGGCTCCTCTGAACCCCGGCTGCGGATCCCGGGCAGAAGTGCCCCATGTGCCCACATGCCCAGGGCCCCCATGGGGCTGGCCTGGGGCTGGTTGCGACCCCCCTGATGTCAGCAGCTCTGGACGCCCCGCTCCTCGTGGCTCTCCTCTCTCCTCTCTCTTTCCCGGCTCTGTCTCCCTCATTTTTCGCCCTCTCCCTTCCCTTTTCCCATTTCTCCGTTACCTTTCATCATTCCGTCTCCGCATGTCCACGCGGTTCTGCAGTGACCCCCCCGGCGTGCCTCCACCACCCCCGCGTGCCCCCAGACCCCCGAGTGCCCCCAGGTCCCCCCTGAATGTCCCCAGCCCCGCCGATTCCAAGTCCCCGCCGGCAGCTTCCCGGGTAATCACAGAAATAACAGCAATAATAGGAATAAGGATAAATTGATGGGGAGAGGAGGGGGCTGTGGTGGGGGGTGGGTGGTGAAAACCCCTCGGGGGGAGCGTGACAACCCCTGGGAGAGGGGCCCGGCACCGCACTGGGGGATGAGCACACGCGTGTCCATGTGCACACACATGTGTCCGTGCAGGTGACGCAGGTGGCGTGTCCAGCCCGACGCGGGTGGGGGTGCAGGACAAGAGGAGCCCCTCGGGTGTGGCAGGGTCTGGGTGCCCCCCATGGACGCTCCCTAGGGTGCCCCCCCATCCCTTCCTGCTGAAGTTTTGGGGGGCCAAGCATGGAGGGACCCCCTGCCCTCCCCAGGAAGGGCAGCACTGTCGGGGTCCCCCCCGGTGCCTCCAGCTGGGTGTGGGGTCTGCGGGAGATGGGGCGGGGGGCTGCAGGACCGGGAGCATCCCGAGGGGCCGGGGGAGAGGGGGGATAAGCCTGGGAGCATCTGGGGGAGTGGGAAGATGGGGAAGGAAGGGAGGCACCCCGGGCTGCTGGAGGATCGGGGGCAGGAGTGGGTCCGGGGGATGCGGGGTCCCCGGGAGAGAGGGGCAGGACCGGGATACCCGGGTGTGGGGGTCTCCAGGAAAGGGGGAGGGAGGCAGAACCGGGGACACCCTCACTGCTGGCGACCAGGTGGGGCAGGACCCCGAGGTGATGGAGAAGGGGTGTGGGGGGGGGCATAGCTGGGGATACCCCGGGGTTTGAGGCAAGTTGGGAGGGGTAGAACCAGAAACACCTGGGGTTGATGGAGAAGGCGGGGGGGGGCAGGATCGAGGACACCCCGGAATGCTGAAAGGAGAGGAGGGGGTAAAACCTCGAGATGCGGGGGGAAAAGGGGGAGTCGGATCAGAGGCACCCCGAGGTGTGGGGCTCTCCCCGCGCCCCTCGGCCCGCTCTGTGGCGGAGCCGCCGGTGCGCGCGGGGCCGGTGCGGGGTCCCGGCGCCCCCGGAGCCGCCCCCCCGGTGCCCCCCCGCCGGCCGGGATTGGCGGGGCCGCCGAGGCGCCGCCCGGCCCCGCAAGTCTCCAACTTTCTTCCCGCCGCCCCTCGCCGCCGCCGCCGCCGCCGCTGCTCCCGGAGCCCCGCGATGCTCCGCCGCCGCCTGCCCCTGCTCGGGCCCGGGCTGCTGCTGCTGCAGGTACGGGGCATCCGCGACCCCCGCCCGGCCGAGCTGCGGCCGCCGCGGGGCGGGGGGGGATGGGGGGGGGGCGCGGTTACCGGCCAGGGGGGCGATTACCGGAGGGGGGGGGCATTTC